ATTCAAACACCAAAGTTCATGGTTTGCATAGTTCTTTATGATGCAACAAACATAAGTTTGATCAAAGCACTTTGAAATTTGGGTTTGTGGTACCTACTGTCAGTGACTAAAGCTGCGTTGTTTCCCTCGTCCTTCCAGCACAGCTGCTCGCCCAACGTGTTTGTCCAGAACATCTTTGTGGACACGCATGACCTGAGGTTTCCCTGGGTCGCGTTCTTCGCCGGACAGTAAGTTCTCCTGTGTGTCGCATGTACTAACTGTATGTAGGTCGGATGTAGGTCGGATGTGTGAAGTGTGGGTTGGATGTAGGTCGGATGTGTGAAGTGTGGGTTGGATGTGGGTCGAGTGTGTGAAGTGTGGGTTGGATGTATGTCAGATGTGTGAAGTGTGGGTTGGATGTGGGTCGGGTGTGTGAAGTGTGGGTCGGGTGTGTGAAGTGTGGGTCGGATGTGTGAAGTGTGGGTCGGATGTATGTCGGATGTGTGAAGTGTGGGTTGGATGTGTGAAGTGTGGGTCGGATGTATGTCGGATGTGTGAAGTGTGGGTTGGATGAAGAAAATGTTGACTTGGGATGTTTGCCAAGAGTCTGTTGACTTGGTACATTCAGTGTTTTGGCTGTCCTGTATTGCTGGAAGAATGGAAACACTGCATGTTATATTTAGAAGGTGCTTGTAGAAGCCAGGTGAGATGTGTCACGCGAGTGGGGCCCCCTAGTTCAATCATCTCCCCCCCCCCCCGTGATGTTTCAGGTACATCCGTGCGGGCACTGAGCTGACCTGGGACTACAACTATGAGGTTGGCAGCGTCCCTGACAAGATCCTCTACTGCTACTGCGGCTCTTCTACGTGCCGTGGCCGCCTCTTGTAGCCGCCAGCCTGCTGTCTCTTCCACCCTTGTGCTGGTTGCCATGGCGACTGTCTATAAGCATCTAGGCTGCAACAGAAGATGGGTCTGTTCTCCGTGGGTGATGTGTGTGGCTCAAGTGACAGCGACGAGTGACAGTGACAAGTGACAATGTGGGTGTTGTGTGTGGCTCAAGTGATAGTGACAGCGACGAGTGACAGTGACAATGTGGGTGTTGTGTGTTCCTCAAGTGACAACGACAAGTGGCAGTGGCAAGTGACAAGTGACAACGTGGGTGTTGTGTGTGGCTGAAGTGACAGCGACAAGTGGCAGTGACAAGTGACAACATGGGTGTTGTGTGTGGCTCAAGTGACAGCGACAAGTGGCAGTGACAAGTGACAACGTGGGTGTTGTGTGTGGCTCAAGTGACAGTGATAGCGAAAACGTGGGTGTTGTGTGTGGCTCAAGTGACAGCGACAAGTGACAGTGACAAATGACAACGTGGGTGTTGTATGTGGCTGAAGTGACAGTGACAAGTGGCAGCGACAACTCTGAAGTGACAGTGACAAGTGACAACGTGGGTGTTGTGTGTGGCTACAGTGACAGTGGCAAGTGACAGTGACAACTCTGAAGTGACAAGTGACAGTGACAACTCTGAAGTGACAGTGACAAGTGACAGCGACAACGTTGGGTGGACCAATTCTCTTGATGAATTACTTCCCCTGCCTCCTTGTCTCACTGCGGTAGTGGTCTGACATGTGACCCTCGACCCCTGGAGACGAGGCGAGACGAGACAGTGCCTGCCTGCCTGCCTGCCTGCCCCAGCGACAGACCTAAAGTGGCATGTGTTCTCATCCTGTGTCGCTGTCACTTACAATGTACAGGTCTCCCAGTGTCGTGTGTTCTCATCCTGTGTCGCTGTCACTTACAATGTAGGCCTACAGGTCTTTCAGTGTCGTGTGTTCTCATCCTGTGTCGTTGTCACTTACAATGTAGGCCTACAGGTCTTTCAGTGTCGTGTGTTCTCATCCTGTGTTGCTGTCACTTACAATGTACAAGTCTTCCAGTGTCGTGTGTTCTCATCCTGTGTCGCTGTCACTTACAATGTACAGGTCTTCCAAAGTCTCCCAGTGTGTTCAGGATGTGTCCAATCTCTGGTGTTGACGGACGCTGTTTTGTCTGTGGATCGCTCCTGGCGGGGCCGTGGGTGGTCTGGTGGGTTCCTTTCCTAGGGTCTCTCCCTGATGTCTCTCCTTGATGTCTCTCCCTGATTGTTCCTTTCCTAGGCTCTCTCCCTGATGTCTCTCCCTGATGGTTCCTCTCCTAGGGTCTCTCCCACAGTGGGAGGTCTGATGGTTCCTCTCCTAGGCTCTCTCTCCCATGGTGGGAGGTCTGATGGTTCCTCTCCTAGGCTCTCTCTCCCACAGTGGGAGGTCTGATGGTTCCTCTCCTAGGCTCTCTCTCCCACAGTGGGAGGTCTGATGGTTCCTCTCCTAGGCTGTCTCCCACAGTGGGAGGTCTGATGGGACACATGGTTCCCCTAGTTCTTCACCAGTTCTTTATACCAAGAATTTACACATGGGTGGTTGGCGGGTGCTCTGGTGTGGTGTACTCCTTCTTTACTATGAAAAATCAATCGTCTCTATCTCCCCTCCTTCTTTTTTGTGTTTGTTGCTCTCTTGTAACTCCTGTAATCTTCTGCACGTTTATGACCTTATTGTGTTGCAAGTGCTGTAAAACTCTTACTACAACTAAAAGGATTTACACATGTATAAAGAAACACTTTAGGACCTGAAACTTTTTTGGGGTAATTTTACAGTGCTTGCAACAGCATTCATACGGTCATATGAGCGCACAGGACTCGCCCAACATTTTCCGATGCACTAGGAGACCGGGGAACATATGCACATAGTGAAACATACCTCACAGAGAAAATTATATCTCTAAAGTTGTCTCCTTTCACCTCCTTTCCTGCTCTCTAACAATGTTCTGTCATCTACTTTCCTGTCCACTCTCTGCCCCCACCCTCTCGCCTCCTTTGCCCCCTCCTCTACTGCTACTCTTTGGCTCCTTCTTACTGCTGTCTTTCAGCCACACGCCTGATCCTATGGTAGGAAAGATGTACCCCTGTCACCTAGCCTTCTGGGACAACAGTTGCCCATATAGATCTATGGAGAACTCATCAGGTTTGTTTGTGTACACAAAGTTTTATCAAATGGCATCCGATTTTTTTCTTCAAAATGTCAAAATGAAATTGGTAGAGTGAATGTGGAAGTGACAGTGAGTGTTGTTTTTTACCATGGGCATTTTTAACGTATCCTGTCTTAGTTCTGGTCAAGTTGGATTGCTTCTGATTCTGGTCAAATTGGATTGCTTCTGATTGTGGTCAAGTTGGATTGGTTCTGATTCTGGTCAAGTTGAATTGGTTCTGATTGTGTTGATGTGTCAAGCAAGGTCACCAAGTTGGCAACTCTAAAGAAATACCTATTTCGATTTCTTGTCTGAGAGTAGCATACGTGCATAGTTAGCGTGGAAGCAAACGAAATGTGTAAAAATAGCTCATGAATTGCATATGATATGATATATATATTATAAAGCAGGCCTACGTATTGAAACATTTGGAAGGGTCTGCTGGACTTTGGTTTCTGATTTTTTCACCTAAGGTTTCCCCGAGTTGGCATCTTGTGGACTTGTGTTTGAGGTGTAGTAATCTTTGGTTGTGTTGGGGGTGGTTGATGACCGGCTGTGTGTGCGTGTGTGTGTGTGAGCGTGCGTGCGTGCGTGTGTGGTAGCCTGGACAGTTGTAGAAAGTTTTAAGTTTTTGGCAGGTGCTGTTCTGCTGTGCTGGTGTGGGCACTGGGGAAAATGGTGGAATTTTTGGATGTAATTAAATGTTGTTCTTGCTTATTGAATTTGGTTTGTCTGGTTTGTATTACACTGGATGTCTGCTGGGATACTGTATCCCTCTCAGCCCGGGTCTGTCTGCTGGGATGTTGTATCCCTCTCAGCCCGGGTCTGTCTGCTGGGATGTTGTATCCCTCTCAGCCCAGGTCTGTCTGCTGGGATACTGTATCCCTCTCAGCTCGGGTCTGTCTGCTGGGATACTGTATCCCTCTCAGCTCGGGTCTGTCTGCTGGGATACTGTATCCCTCTCCGCCCGGCTTGGCCCGGATAGACAGTACGGGGAGCCTGCCTCCTAAAAGATGTAGACAGTCGGTGGAGGCGTCTGGCCTGACAACAGCAGCTTTGTCCTCATGTGGCAGGAGTAGAAGCATTTCTTGTAGTCAAACTCCAGAGTCCTCTTTGAGTAAGTGTAGACATGTAACGGTCCTATCAACACTTGTAGCTTACTCAAGACCTCGGAATTCTGCGTCTGTCTCTAATAGGACGGAGCCACGTGGCCGGAGAACCGTGAAAGCTCCACACAAAGCACCGAGTTCAGGAACGGCCTCTCTGAGATTTGAACTAGAGTCATCTGCTCTGTAGTCCAGCATGGTACCAGAGTACCCACTCAGCTAACAGAGTACCCACTCAGCTAACAGAGTACCCACTGAGTACCCACTCAGCTAACAGAGTACCCACTGAGTACCCACTCAGCTAACAGAGTACCCACTCAGCTAACAGAGTACCCACTGAGTACCCACTCAGCTAACAGAGTACCCACTCAGCTAACAGAGTACCCACTGAGCATATGGACTGGATGATTTACGGATTGTTTGAATTTGAAAGAAAAAGATTTTAGTATGGGCAGCAGGTCTTCTCGCTGGTGTGGCCTTGTGGCTTGTGGTGACAAATGTAGATACAGGTACTGCTGAGGTACACGGTGACAAATGTAGATACAGGTACTGCTGAGGTACACGGTGACAAATGTAAATACAGGTACTGCTGAGGTACACGGTGACAAATGTAAATACAGGTACTGCTGAGGTACACGGTGACAAATGTAGATACAGGTACTGCTGAGGTACACGGTGACAAATGTAAATACAGGTACTGCTGAGGTACACGGTGACAAATGTAAATACAGGTACTGCTGAGGTACACGGTGACAAATGTAGACTCTACAGGTACTGCCGAGGTACACGGTGATGCCCCAAAAAACTGGACAAATGTTTCTATTTTTCAGGACTAGGCTCGTTTTATTGAAACTATATTTAGCCTTTGGCGGTGTAATTCTCCGTTTTATTTCTGTGGAGCATTTTGGCCTCCGATGTTGTTATTATGGGAGTGCTTATTTAGGCCACAAATAATGGACACGAGCTAGACAATGTTGGGGACCAGCTGGGGGCCATCGGAGTTTTCAGAAATAGTGGGGATCAACTAGAAAATATTGGGGATGTCCTAGAAAATATGATTATATTATAATAAGCTGTCCCCGTCGTTTTATGCACCCCGTATAATTTAGCGAAATTTGATCATTTTTTTGCATAATTTCTAATTTCTAATTATTTTCCTTTATCATTCTAACAGAATCGCATAATTTCGCTTTTTTGAATCAGTTTGTACAATTTCAGAATTTTTCTTGAATAAAACAACGTGGACAGAACAAGGGATCAGCTAAAAAAATATTACTAATCAGCTACAAAATACTGGAGGTGAGCTAGAAAATTATTCGTTTTGATATAGAAAATAGGCCTACTGAGGATGAGCTAGAAAAAACTGGGAATGGATCTAGAAAATACTGGGGATGATCTAGAAAATACTGGGAATTTGCTAGAAAAGAAAATATTAGTTATGATCTAGAAAATACTGGGGACGAGATAGAAATTACTGGGGATGGACCTACAAAATACTGGGGATGAACTAGAAAATGTAAATGATGAGCTAGAAAAAACGGGATGAGCTAGAAATTTTACAAATGACCTGTAAATAATGGGGATGAGTTAGAAATTGTAACGGATGAGCTAAAAAAAAAAATGCTGCTGATGGGCTAGAAAATATCTAAATATGACGGATATGCCAGAAAATTCTGGGAATGAGCTTGAAAATATTAGTTTTGATTTAGAAACTATTTCGGATGAGCTAGAAAATACTGAAGATGGAACTAGAAAATACTGGGGATGAGCTAAAAAAAAAAATGTAAGGAATGAGCTAGAAAATATTAGGGTTGATTTAGAACTGTGGATGAGTTAGATAATTTTATTATTACGGATGAGATAAAAAATACTGGGGATGAGCTAGAAAATGTTACGGATAAGCTAGAAAATACTGGGGATAAGCTAAAAATACTTGGGATGAGCTATAAGAACATACTGGGGATGAGCTAGAAAATATTTATTTTGATGGAAAAATACTTGGGATCAGCTAGAAAATACTGGGGATGGATCTAAAAAAGACTGGGTATGAACTGGAAAATATTTCGAATAATCTAGAAAATAACAGGTTTGAGTTAGAACATACTGGGGATGAGTTAAAAATACTTTGGATGAGCGAAAAAATGTTGGTGATGTGCTAGAACTAGAAATTATTACGGATTTGCTAGAAAAGATCGGGTATCAGCTAGAAAATAAAAGGGATGAGCTAGAACATACTGAGGATGAGTTAAAAAATACTCGGGATGAGGTAGAAAATATTAGGGTAGAGCCAGAAAATACTGGAGATGAGCTAGAAATTACTGGGGAAGAGCTAGAAAAATAGATTTGGGCAGGAAAATACTGAGAATGGATCTAGAAAACACTAGGGATGAGCTAGAAAATACTTGGAATTTGCTGAATAATATTAGTTTTGTTCTAGAAATTACTGGGGATTAGCTAGAAAGTATTATTATGGATAAACTGGAAAATACCGGGGATGAGCTAGAAAATACTGAGGATAAGCTAGAAAATATTAATTTTGATCTAGAAATTACTGGGGAAGTGCTATAAAATATATAAAGGATGACCTAGAAAATACTGGAGATGAGCTAGAAAATATTAGTGTTGAGCAAGACAATTCTTGGGATGAGCTAGAAAATTTTTGGGTTGAGCCAGAAAAAATCGGGAATGAGTTAGAAATTACGGGGAAGAGCTAGAAAATACTGAGTATGAGCTAAACATTTTATAGATGGGCTAGAAAACTCTGGGGATGAGCTAAATAATATTAGGAATGAGCTAGATTATATTTACAGATGAGCTAAAAATACTGGGGATGTTCTAGAAAATATTACGGATAATCTAGAAAAACATAGGAATGAGCTAGAACATACTGGGGATGAGTTAGAAAATACTGGGGAAGGTTCAAGGATCTAAAAAATACTGGGGATGAGTTAAAAAATATTAGGAATGAGCTAGAAAATATAAGGAAAGAGCTAGAAAATATTAGGGTTAATTTAAAACTGTGAATGAGCTTGATATTAATACGGATGAGCTAAAATAATACTATGGATGGGCTAGAAAATATTACGGATAAGCTTAAAAAAAAAAAGGGATAAATTAATATATACTGGGTTTAAGCTAGAAATACTGGGGATGAGCTAGAAAATATCAGAAACGAGCAAGAAAATAATGGGCATGAGCTAAAATATTATATTAGGGGTGAGCGAGAAAATATTTGGTAAGAGCAAAAAATTATACAGATTAGCTAGAAAATACTGGGGATGAGCTAGAAAGTATTAGGAATGAGCTAGATGATATGGATGAGGTAAATAAATACTGGGGATGCGCTAGAAAATAT